ACGTCAGAGTTCGTCTGCACAGATTAGGTTTGTATAAATACATTCATGTTGTTTAGTGTGATGTTAGCCGCAGTTTTTGTAGCTAAGTGACTTAGCATCTTCAGAAGACCGTGTGGATCTAGTGTCGCACTTTCGCAACTTTATATCTAAAATCCAGCCAGAACCTTGTTGGTGGATCCAGAAAGCTCGTGATCAAGGTGCAATTTACTTTAGAGTCATTGAACTGAGTTTTAGTGGGATGTAACAAACACTAAAGCAACATGTTTAAATGCACTTTAAAAAAAGGCTCATTGCCATTTTTGTTTCACTGACATTAAATCTGTCTGAATTTTTCCTGTTATAGGTCAATTAGGATTCTCAGAACGATTTCTAGTTTTTAAATCGGAATCAGAATAAGCTTTATTATCATTGCACCGAGATACAATGAGAACATGTACATGCAGTCATCCGGAAGATGGAGTGCACGAAGCTGCTACTATAACTAAGCGCTGCCTTTCTTATCCTTTTTCAGAATAATAATCTTGGATAGGAAAAGGGGACGAAACATGAGGGTAGATAGTGGGATTACAAAAAAAGATCTTTCACATCTTGTCTATCAGGACAAGATTTGAGACATCAAAAAATCTCTACCAGCAAGCACAATTAAAACATGATTACATTTGTATTTGACATCAAGGTGTTGAGATTTGTCCATGAGCGTTTTTTTCAGAACGGCCACAGTTTCTGAAGATGTTCTTTCAGCCAGCAGTTCTGATAAGCTTGCACAGAAAGTTTTCGGGGGGGGGCATAGATGATGCTTTTGTCCTTGATTACCCATGGCCCAGGAGAAATTTGATAGTCTGCCCGTTCCGAGGCCGTCGGGGAGTCAGATTCAGATAAACTTTGATTGTTGATTTTCTTCAGACAGATGGATTAGTTTTTCCTTTAGCCTCGAGTCCATCTGGACGTTCTGGTTCCAAAATGGCCTAGTTGTGGGAATCCATTCCACTGATCCATGTTATGAGTCTCCCTCAAGGTCGAACCACGTTGACGAGTTCCAGAAGCCGCAGATGGCCTGCGATTCTCATAAATCGCCTCCACCTTATGGTTTACCTCGTAAACGTTGATTTAGAACTAAGTCCATGCTCAATAATCCAGGTATACAATCCAACATTTTTCAGTCAGGTCATCTGGACAGTTTCTTTTTTGTGCTGAAACGTTTCGCCTTCGGTCCGGAAGGCTTCATCAGTCAAGGAAACACACAACAAAATTGATTCTTCCTCCAACAGCCTACTCCAAAGTGGAACAAGCCAGTTCTGCTTGTGATAAGATGGTCTCTTTGGTACGCCCCCTCCTCCATTGCCGGCCTTCTTCCTTGTTGACAGTCTTGTCAAACTGGTTGAAAACAACAAAGTCCATGCTCAATAATCCAGGTATACAATCCAATAAGCCAAAAGAAACTGTCCGGATAACCTGACTGAAAATTGTCCAGTAGTTTGTTGTATTTTTGTCCAATGCAAATTTATCGCTAAAATTAGAAACATCTAAAAATGATGCAGAAAAACTGGTCCATGCATTTGTCACGTCTAGACTAGACTATTGCAATGGTTTATTATCTGGGTGTCCAAATACTTCTTTAAAACATCTTCAGTTGATCCAAAATGCTGCTGTCAGAGTCTTAACTGGAGTTAGTGGTAGAGATCATATTTCTCCAGTTTTAGCTTCTCTTCATTGGCTCCCTGTCAAGTCCAAAATAGAATTCAAAATCCTACTTCTAACCTACAAAGCCCTCAACAACCTAGCTCCATCTTATATTACAGATCTTATTGTTCCATATTTTCCTAACAGAGCACTTCACTCTCAGGCTGCAGGTTTACTTGTGGTTCCTAGAATTTACAAAAACAGAATGGGAGGCAGATCCTTCAGTTATCAGGCTAACACCAGTGATGTTTGTGTGAATATAAAGTTATAACTGTCCTTATTGTTCATGTGTTTCATTGTTCCCTGCAGATGTTCAGCAGACGGTGCTGATTAAAGAAGAAGCTCCTGAAGAATGGAGTTCTGGTGTGGACCAGAAGGACCCAGAGACCCTCAACATAAAGGAGGAAGAGGAGGAACCGAGGACCAGTCTGGATGTGGAGCAGCTCGGTGTGAAGGAGGAGACTGATGACACCAGGTTCTCCTTCACTGCAGTTCCTTTGAAGAGTGAGGACGATGAAGAGAAACCTCTGCTCTCTCAGCTTCATCAGCACCAAGTGGAAGATGGAGATCTTCCAACCAGCAGCTCAGCTGACCAGATGAAAGCAGCAACTGGTGGAGGAGCAAAAATTCAGTTCTACAAATTAGGTTTGTAAATTTGGATCAACTGTGATATTTGTTGGAGTTTAGTTACAGTTTTAATGAAGCTAACAAACTTAGTCTTTAAGAACTTGTATAACTATATTTTGTTTTTAGCTTAGCTTGCTGATACAACAAAGCATGGTTACCACATTAAAACATCAATTGTTGGTGCTCTTTGAATATACAGTATGAACAGTTCCTGTTTCTGCTTTTCTTGCTACAAGCTAAGAACCAAAAATCTTAATTACCACATAATATTTTAAGTACCCTGCTCAAGCTGCTGCTCCCGTGACCCGACTTCAGAACAATCAGAAGACGATGGATGGATAGATTTTTTTAAGTATTTGTTAGCATCAAAGCTGCCAACAATGAACTTTTCATCTTTCATGCTCTCATTTCACACATCTGGTGTCTCATATATAAAGACTTGTGCGGATTTTCCTTTGAAAATTTGTATGCCTAAAATATACAGTGGTGGTTTAAAGTTTGTGAACGCTTTAGAATTTTCCATATTTCTGCATAAGTATGGCTTTTAACATCATCAGATTTTCACACGAGTCCTAAAAGTAGATGACGAGAACCCAGTTAAACAAATGTGACAAAATTATTATACTTCACCTATTTATTGAGGGAAATTATCCAATATTACTGTACATAGTAGCGCTGTATACTGAACCGAGGTTCTTTTATGGCACCGACCAAACTGCTTCAGTCGGTGTATGGATTAAAACATGACTTTTCTTTCGGTGTCAAGTTTCGGTATCGGCTGTAACGTGTCACGTGGTTTCAGCACGCAGGCAGGTAAAATGCAGACATATAGCAAACAGACTATGTGGTTACACCCAGAGCTGTATAGAGCTGCTGTATAGCTGTATGTCTATGGCGCTGGTTACGCCCACAGACGGGGTTCACGTGTGCAGCGCGTGTGGCGTCGAACGGAAGTTGTCTGACGTAATTGTGAATAGAGCCTATTTACGAGCAGAAAATTGCTCCATTGTTTGTCTGCAAGGAGAGAGAAGGACTGCAGCGTCCCCTCTTCCTCTCAGCATTAAAGTCAACCTGTGAGTGTTAGAGAGCCTGAACGGCCTGATTCAACATTCCACATCCGCTTCATCAAAGAACTCCGAGGACGGATCTGTGTCTGGGGTTTCAGCTGGTAAGTTTACGTTTGTTAACGTTACTGCAGCTTAATACATGCATCGCTGTGAGTTAAACTAGAATCCATGTAACGCTAACTTTAAGATATTAGTGTGTAGCTTTATTTTATGGCTATGTAGCTAGCTACAATCAAAAGCTAACTAAAGATTGACACTAACAGATGAAGCTTAGCTTGTAAAAATGTGCTCATTCATCTGGTCAGCTGGTTAAACGGTTCACCTAATGTTCACTGTTTATGTTTATGTTCTCTTCACAGGAGTCTCTGACCCTGATGTGAGGAGGACAGACAAAAGAAAAGTGAGATTTGGGAGGGGGTTAGGGTTAGGACAGGGGGCACAGGACAGTCACAAACTTTGTTGTTAAAAGTTTGCTGCCTGTTTCTACAGTGGAGGCTTCATGGTGGAGGTAAGTAAGTTGTAAAGGATTTTGTTGACCAGTTAAGCTTTTATCTCTCAGCCTAGATAATGGTTTTTGAGCAATAATAACACAACCGTGTTATTTTTTATGTTTTGTGTTCTAATGTCAATTAGGGAGATGATAAGAGCCCTAAACCCCAGAGAACCACAGAGAAGATTCAGGAAGAGAGACAGAGGTGCAGATGTCTGCCATCAACCGTAACTTCAGTGGATCCAGTGACCTGCTGGTGGGATGTGAGGGACACTATGCCAATACTATCAAACTGGCAACCAGGTATCTGTGTGTGCAACAAGCATCATCCACACCTTCAGAGCAAACATTTTGCACTGCTGGAGACACCATCATCCAGGAGCGGGCTTGTTTGTGTCCAGAGAAAGCAGACATGTTGATTTTTCTGAAGAAAAAGTGAAAATGTCCTCAGTGTGTAGCAGTGAGCATCAGACACTGACGTGTCAATGTTTGCAACTGTTCTTTTTATTACTTGTTTATTTTTATGCAAGAAAACTGCTTGAAATGAAAAAATACCCAAGTTAAAAAATAAAACTCACGATTTGTACTGTAATGTGTAACGTAATTTTCTTCTTATTAGAATTAGTATTAATTACAAAATTGGTACCAGAAAAACCCGTCCAGGAACCGATACCAAAGTGAAGGTACTGACACTGATACCGATTTATTTTATTTTTTAGAGAAGTTCCCAGCCCTAGTACATAGTTGTGCGTGGCAAAAGTATGTGAACCTTTACTTTAACTACCTGGTGTGCCCCACCCCCCACCCCACTCTCCCCGTGTAGCAAAAACTGCAACTAAACGTTTCTGGTAACTGTTGATCAGTCTTGCACTGATCATTCCTCCGTACAGAACAGCTTCAACTTTGGGATGTTGGTGGGTTTCCTCACATTAACTGCTCGCTTCAGGCCCTTCCATAACATTTCAATTGGATTAAAGTTAAGACTTTGACTTGGCCATTCCAAAACATGAACTTTATTCTTCTTGAACCATTCTTTGGTAGAATAACGTGTGCTTCGGGTCAATGTCTTACTGCATAACACCATAAGCACCCTTTTGTTTCTTTTAATGACATTCCTTTTACAGGAGATGGACAGTCAACAGCAACACCTCTGTTAAAATATTGCATGTTTTAAGTTTGATTCAAAATATGTCATATTTTGTATGTTTATTCATGAGAAAATGTGTTTTAAGTAATCTTTCTTTAAGATAATACTTTTGTCTTATTTTCTCATTCTAAAAGGAAACCTTTAAGGCAGAAAAAGATTTTTAAATTTATTTAATAAAAGCTTTATGGAAAAAAAAACGAAGCCAAGAGTTAGAACCACCCTTCTTCACAGAGATAGACTTCATCTCTCTTCTAACACAGAGTTAAGTTGCACTTTTAAGAAAAACTCCAAAGCCTTCACACTGAAACTCGGAGAAGAAACAGAAGAAACGACCTCAGAGAGAGAAGAATCACCTTCAGCAGACGATTTTTGAGCAAACTTCATACTTCCTAGAGAGACATCCTAGGAAGAAAAGAGAGAGAAGAAGCACATTTTTGCAGACGTCTCAAGACGAGAGACGGGACCGAAAGATACAGAACCCAGCACCTTCCCAGAGTGAACTGAGAGTAATCAATCCAGAACAGTTATCCATTGAACCAGGTCCAGAGGGAGGACTACAGTCTTCTATAGCCAAGGTAACTTGGGAGATTTCTCAACTTACGAGCTGCCATCTGCACCTACCTGCCTGGTATCTCCGGAGGCTGTTCAACTGGAGAACTCTCATGGTTTGCTTGTGACCCGACATCACAATAGACTTATCAGACAAACTTAGCTCACCTTAGATACAGTTTTAACCCTTCACAAACAGAAACCAGTCCTAAGTCTGCCTTTTAAGTTTCACTAATTTTAATCATCAATTAGATCTTTGAATCAAAGCCATTTGATGTTAAGTTAACTTTGTCATGCATAATTTTCACCATATATATCAGATTATTATTCTTTATGATAAAATAAATAAAAATCAACTGAATTTGTGATTATTTTTGGCATTTACATTATTTTGGGGTAAATAGAGACAGATTTTTCCTCTCCGAGAGAGGTGGTGCCCAAACGACAACGTTATTTGCATAATACATGCATATCTTTTGAGCTTAACTCATGGCTGATAATCAGAATATATATTACACCCCATATCACTACAATATGTATCATTCATGCCCATGGATGGTGTATTTTAACATCTTATCAGAGCTGTGAGCATGCTGCCAAAGGCAGACAATAGCATGCGTCTCCACCAGCATGTGGAGAGAAACGTGTTGCTGATGAAACATTAAATCTGGGTAGAGTTCTAGTTCTAGTATATAGTTATAGTATCACTGTTTAAAAAAAACAATTGAGTCTCTCAGTATCAAATGATTATTATAAATTCAAAATAAAATTCATGTACCTTAAAAACTTTGTATTTAGTCTGTTCTTTTATTTATTTTTTTTAACCCAAATGAGCAACAATCAAAAACTCAAAACTGTCTCCTGTTTTCAGTTTATTTTAGTTTGGTTCTCTTGAGTATTTAGCTCAAATTTCAGCACAAGACTATTAAAGAATAACAAGATAATGGTGGAGAAGCAGGATTGAAAGGTTGGCCTCATGTTGTGGCACATGCTGTTCCAGTGCATTATGGGATTTGTAGTTTTAGTTGTTTGCATGCTGTATACCTGATGGTAGTTATTTTACATGAAATATGGCTTTTCTTTACCTTGACATGTCTGCTTTTTAAAATTTTTTTAATTTTTTAATCATCTTCTAATAACCTGTCGGGATGTCTGTCTCACTGAATTCGTTTCAGGAGGTTTTTCTTACGTCCAGCATTACATGTTGTTTTGAATTGATCAGTGAACTAAACAAGTTATGTTTGTGTGAATATAAAGTTATAACTGCCTTTAATGTTCATGTGTTTCAGTGTTCCCTGCTGATGGTCAGCAGATTATACTGATTGTAGAAGGTTCTGAAGAATGGAGATCTGATATGGACCAGAAGGATCCAGAGCTCCTCCATATGAAGCTTCATCAGCACCAAGTGGAAGATGAAGATCTTCCAACCAGCAGCTCAGCTAACCAGATGAATACAGCAACGGTTAGAGAGGACTGTGGAGGAGCCGGAAATACCAGGAACCCAGATCTAAATACTCATAAAGATGGTTCCAGCTTTTCAGAGACTGAAGACAGTGAGGATGATGATGAAGATGTGAATGATCCTGATTCTCAGCTGAAAGACTCATCAGACTCTGGATCAGAACCTGAAGACCATGACAAAGACTGGGCTCCTGAGTCGGGTGTAAACACTGTCACCAAATCTTGCAGTTTCTCTGAGTGTGATAAACAATTTCTTCACAAGGAGTCTGTTCAGAGAAACACGACGGATCATTCAAGAAAAAAGTCCTCAAGTTGTTTGGTTAGTGAGAAATGTTTTAGAGTGAAGAAAACTGGAGGCTCAAACAAAAAAATCCAGCCAAGTCAGAAATCTTTTAGTTGTGATGACTGTGGAAAAAGATTTAGACACAAGTCATATTTAAACATACACATAAGAATCCACACAGGACAGAAACCATTTGCTTGTGATCTTTGTGGACAAAAGTTTGGAGATCAGTCAAATTTAATGAAACACATGAGAATCCACACTGGACAAAAACCATTTGCTTGTGATGTCTGTGGACAAAGGTTCAGCCGCAAGTCACATTTAAACTCGCACATGATAATCCACACAGGACAAAAACCATTTGCTTGTGATGTTTGTGGAAAAAGATTTGGACACAAGTCATATTTAAACATACACATGAGAATCCATACAGGACAAAAACCATTTGCTTGTGATGTTTGTGAACAAAGGTTCTCAAGCAAGTCACGTTTAAACAGACACATGATAAACCACACTGGACATAAACCATTTGCATGTGATGTTTGTGGACAAAAGTTTAGAGATAAGTCAGATTTAATGAAACACATTAGAATCCACACTGGACAGAAACCATTTTCTTGTGACCTTTGTGGACATAAGTTTGGATACAAGTCAAATTTAAACAAACATCTGAGAATCCACACTGGACATAAACCATTTGCTTGTGATGTCTGTGGACAAAGGTTCAGCTGCAAGTCACATTTAAACTCACACATGATAATCCACACAAGACAAAAACCATTTGCTTGTGATGTTTGTGGAAAAAGATTTGGACACAAGTCATATTTAAACATACACATGAGAATCCATACAGGACAAAAACCATTTGCTTGTGATGTTTGTGGACAAAGGTTCTCAAGCAAGTCACCTTTAAACAGACACATGATAAACCACACAGGACAGAAACCATTTGCGTGTGATGTTTGTGGACAAATGTTCAGCCGCAAGTCACTTTTAAACTCGCACATGATAAACCACACTGGACAGAAACCATTTGCATGTGATGTTTGTGGACAAAAGTTAAGAGATAAGTCAGATTTAATGGAACACATGAGAATCCACACTGGACAGAAACCATTTTCTTGTGACCTTTGTGGACATAAGTTTGGATACAAGTCAAATTTAAACAAACACCTGAGAATCCACTCAAGAACAGAAAACAGTTCACTTTTAAATATGAAGACAGTTTCTAATGACACTTAAGAGTTCACCCAAATTTTAAACAACAGTTCTGGCGTTTTTTGTAAAGACTATTGTTTGAATTATTGTTTTCCATAACTGCAGTAGTTTTTATTTGCAGTAATGTGTGCCTTTGAACCAACCTAAAGTATTCAAGAATACAATTATAGATACTAATTAAAAGTATTTTGGTCACAGCAAGCCCACAATTTATTTAACTTCATTTTCTTAACTGCTATGATAAGGAGAGGACCATACCATCTGAAGCTCTCCACACCAAAGCAAAGCATGATTATTTTGTTCAGACAAAACAGAGGAGCTTGAAGATCTGCAAAAGCAGAGAAGAAACAAACTGGACTCCAGTCAGCCATCAAGTGAAAAGGAGGAACCCAGACCAGTGGTCATTCCATATGCTGAGGGAGTATCAGAGAAAATGAGATGTTTATTTTCTAAACACAACGTCCCAGTGGCTTTTAAACCACAAAATACATTATGGCAAAGACTAGTTCATCCTAAAGATTCAGTCCCCTGGCACAAGCAGAGCAATATTGTGTATGCTGTTCAGTGTCAGGAGGGCTGTGATCAGTCTTACATTGGGGAAACTAAACAGCCACTGGCCGAAAGGATGGCCCAGCACAGAAGATCAACATCATCAGGCCAGGACTCTGCGGTCTACACTCATCTCCAGGCCAGCGGTCACTCTTTCAGGGATGAAGATGTTCACATCCTGGACAGAGAGGAACGATGGTTTGAGAGAGGAGTAAAGGAGCCATCTTTGTGAAAAGAAACCGTCCGTCATTAAACGGGGTGGAGGCCTCCATGTTCAACTGTCCCCCTCTTACAGTTCTGCAATTGCTAGTATCACTCAGCCCCCTGTGAATAGCAAGCAAACATCATGGTGCTAACGATCCATCGTTAGGCTCATGGTCTTTCTTGATCATGTGAGCAGCTGGTTTTGGTTGTCAGCAGCAAACTGGTTGATCCACTATGAGAAGGCGCTATTTTTAAAACTGAGCTGAATACAGCTCCTCAGACTGAAGAAGTCTTTTGGATGTATGACGAAACGTTTCTACATTTTTTTTGAACGTCCAGAGGACCTGACTTAACTTTTTTTTAGGTTTGAGAAAGTTCTTTGTATTTTTACTGAAAAGCTTTAATGTCTTCCATCTCTGTCGTGCCATTTTTACCATGAAGCAACAGCAGATCAGACTCAGTTGAAAATTAGAATAAAATCTGGTGACTGCTTTCTTTATCCTTTGTTCTTTTACATCTCAGGTTGAATGTTTAGATGTTTTTCATGATTAAAGTGGAAATAATTATACAGAAACCGTTGTTTCCTCTAGATTACTGACGTTGACAGGGCGCTTATCGACAGGAGGTTACAGCAAGGGCCCGAGTTGGTTTGATATTTTTCCTCTTGGCGAAACGGCAGCGAGCAGAATCCCAGCTGAATAGCAGGCAGAAAGGCTCATCTGGAAGCTAAAAATGGAGCAGATTGTCACTATTAAACTCAACTGATGACAATGAAGGAATTTACAGAGTCTCATTTATTGATATTGTGAGTTGCCACTTCTGAGGGAGATTTGAGCCGAGGGAAGAGACGTGGGCTGGAGGCGGGTTTCCAGGTCCGGTGGCCTGCAGCCAGCCCCCGTCTTTAACAAAGGACAAGTTAGACTTTCCAGTGAATGTAACATAATGTACAGAACTGCTGCACTGATAAACTAAACCCATAAGGCTGGCTCCGCGTCACACTATGTCGCTCTCTGGTTCGTTGTCCTTTGTTATATTTAATTTAATTATAGCTATATAATTAAATAAATATGTTTAATTTCAAAACATAAAAGCACCTTTTAATTTTTTTTAAATCAAATCTATGACATAATTTGGGTCCTCGGAGTTTCAGACGTCATTGATCACGTGACTCAGACCAAACGAATCGAGCTCCGGCAAAGCTCTTCTGCGTCACTCATTGTTGCACTTAGCTTTAGCCTCAAACAGATCGTCTCTACTTTTCAGCGATTTATAAAGTTTCTGCAAAGTTTACAGTGAATCCACCTTCTTGAGTTCGGCTCAGTAAGTGTTAAAGGAAACTTTAGATCAACAAAAGCTAACAGATGTGGAGACAGCAGGCTGAACAACGACTCCGGAAGCAGCAGGTGACTAAATGTTGAAGTTTCTGGACAAAACAGACCCAGATTATGAAGAGGAACGGTGTCGTTGAAAAGAAAAATGCAACAAAACAAAATCCATGACGCTATTTTGAACGTCAGAGTTCGTCTGCACAGATTAGGTTTGTATAAATACATTAATCTTTTTGTGTGTGATGATGTTAGCTTCAGTTTATGTAGCGAAGTGACTTAGCATCTTCAGAGGACCGTGTGGATCTAGTGTCGCACTTTCGCCACTTTATTTCAACAATCCAGCCAGAACCTTGTTTGTGGATCCAGAAAGCTCGTGATCAAGGTGCAATTTACTTTAGAGTCATTGAACTGAGTTTTAGTGGGATGTAACAAACACTAAAACATGTTTAAATGCACTTTTAATAAAGACTCGCTGCCATTTTTGTGTCACTGACATTAAATCTGACTGAACTTTTCCTGTTATAGTGCAATTAGGATTCTCAAAACTATTTCTAGTTTTTAAATGCCCAAATATGAGAAAATTAGAGAAATTGCTTTGGATAATTAGTTATTTCAAAATCACAAGTAACCATCCTTTTTCTTTGTATTTGATAACATTGCCTCTAAACTATAATTGGATCAAACTGTTTGGATTTCCTTCCATGAGTTTCTAACAATCCCACTGGCACGTCTTCCATGGAGGAAGCCGAGTCGGGGGACTTAGGGGTTGGTTTGTCCATAACCGTGGCTGAGGTCGCTGAGTTAGTTTAAAAAGGTCTGAGGCGGCAGGGCTCCGGGGGTGGATGAGATTCACTCTGATTTCCTTAAGGCTCTGGACGTTGTGGGGCTGTCTTGGTTGACACGCCTTTGCAACATTGCGTGGACAGTGTCACTGGATTGGCAGACTGGAGTGGTGGTTCCCCTTTTCAAAAAGGGGGACCGGAGGGTGTGCTGCCAATTACAGGGGCATCACTCTCCTTAGCCTCCCTGGTAAGGTCTATTCAGGAGTTCTCGAGAAGTGAGTCTGATCATTGGTTGAACCTCAGATCCAGGAGGAACAATGTGGGTTCAGTCCTGGCCGTGGAACACTGGACCAGCTCTTTACCCTCACTAGAGTCCTCGAGGAGTCATGGGAGTTTGCCCATCCAGTCTACATATGTTTTCTATACTTGGAGAAGGCATTCAACCATGTTCTGCGGGATACACTGTGGGGGGTTGCTCCGTGAGTATGAGATTGGGGGCCCATTCTTACGGGCTGTTCGGTCTCTATACAAGCCCCTATACAAGCGATGCAAGAGTTTGGTGCATATTGCCGGTAGTAAGTTGAACCCCTTCAGGGTGGGAGTTGGACTCCGCCAGGGCTGTCCGTTGTCACAGATTCTGTCCATAACTTTCATGGACAGGATTTCTTGGTGCAGCCAGGGGGCGGAGGGATTTGGGTTCGATGGCCTCAGGATTCCATCTCTGCTCTTTGCAGATGATATGGTCCTGTTGGCATCATCGTGCTGTGATCTTCAGCTCTCATTAGAACAGTTCACAGCCAAGTGTGAAGCAGCTGGGATGAGAATCAGCACCTCCAAATCTGAGGCCATGGTCCTCAACTGGGAAAGCGCGGATTGCTCGCTTCATGTTGAGGTTGAGGTTCTGCCTCAAGTAGAGGAGTCCAAGTATTTTGGGGGTTTGTTCATGAGTAAGGGAAGAATGGAATGTGAGATTGGCAGACGAATAAATGCAGCATCTGCAGTATTGCGGACTCTGTACAGGTCCATTGTGGTGAAGAGGGAGCTGAGCTGTAAGGAAAAGCTCTCTATTTACTGGTCAGTCTACGTTCCTGCCCTCACCTATGGTCACGAGCTTTGGGTAGTGACCGGAAGAACGAGATTGTGGATACAGGTGGTTAAAACAAGTTTCCTCTGCAGGGTAGCTGGACTCTCCCTTATAGACAGGGTGAGAAGTTCAGTTATCAGGAGAGACTCAGAGTAGAAACTCTGTTCCTCCACATCAAGAAGAGCCAGTTGAGGTGGTTCAGGCATCTGGTAAGAATCCTCCCTGGGCACCTCCCTATGGAGGTGCTTCGGGCATGTCCAACTGGGAGGAGACCCCAGGCAAGAGCCAGGACACACTGGAGAGACTATGTCTCTCGGTTGGACTGGAAACGCCTTGGGGTACCCCCAGAAGAGCTGGAAGAGGTGACTGTGGAAAGAGATGTCTGGGCTTCCCTGCTCAAGCTGTTTCCCGACTTCGGCACAAGCAAAAAATGGATGGATGGAGTGAGTGGGTGGGTGAGTTGGTTGGTTGGTTGTGGGTAGGTGGGTGGGTGTATTTTTGTCCAATATGTCTTTAGAGAACTGAGTCAGGTTTTTAGACCGCCTTGCTCGCACACATTTTTACAGCTCTGCCACAGATTTTCTGTCAGATTAAGGTCTTTGTGGTAAATACTCCAAAAACATTGATTTGTTGTCCTTAAGCCACTTTGTTACTAATTTTGCAGAATGCTTAGGGTTATTGTTTATTTAAAAGACACATTTTCTCCCTAGATTTTACTTTCTGGCTGATGTCTTGATTTGTTGCTTCTGTATTTCCTCATAATGGTCTTTTCTTGTGATACCATCTGTTTTGTGAAGTGAGAAGTGCACCAGTCTTGTAGTAAAACATGATACTGCCATCCTCGTGCTTCACAGGAGGAATGATGTTTTCAGACTCTCAAGCTCATTAATTTTTTTTCCAAATGTAAAGATGGTCACGATGACCAAACAGGACAATTTTAGTTTTATCACACCACAGGAGAGGTCTCCTAAAATGAACTTCTTGTCTCTGTGTGTGTTTGCAAATAAAACAAAATTTGGAAATTCTAACTGAACTAAAATAGTAAAACTTTAGTTTGATTTAATGTCAGACAGTGAGATAAAATGGTTAAAATGTATTTTTATACAATGTAGGTAAAATTTATGGATTTATTTTCAGGACATTTTTCTGACGTCCAGCATTAGATGTTGTTTTGATCTGATCTGTGAACTCAGTGAAAACACCAGTGATGTTTGTGTGAATATAAAGTTATAACTGTCCTTATTGTTCATGTGTTTCAGTGTTCCCTGCAGATGTTCATCAGACAGTGCTGATTAAAGAAGAAGCTCCTGAAGAATGGAGTTGTGGTGTGGACCAGAAGGACCCAGAGACCCTCAACATAAAGGAGGAAGAGGAGGAACTGAGGACCAGTCTGGATGTAGAGCAGCTCAGTGTGAAGGAGGAGACTGATGACACCAGGTTCTCCTTCACTGCAGTTCATCTGAAGAGTGAGGATGATGAAGAGAAACCTCTGTTCTCTCAACTTCATCAGCACCAAGTGGAAGATGGAGATCTTCCAACCAGCAGCTCAGCTGACCAGATGAAAGCAGCAATTGGTGGAGAAGATTGTGTTCGACTCTACAGATCAGGTTTGTATCTTTGGATCATTGTAATTGTTTGTAAAATTAACCTGGAGACAGTAATACATGCATTCATTACATCTAGGCTTGACTACTGCAATTCACTCCTGTTTGGTATCAGTCAGACCTCCGTTGCACAACTACAACTGGTCCAGAATGCAGCAGCCCGATTTTTAACCAGTACAGGCAAAAGAGAGCATATTACACCAGTTTTGGCCTCACTGCACTGGTTACCGGTTCACCTTTGACTCCAGTTCATAATACTCCTGTATGTCTACAAATCACTAAACAGTCACCCCCCCCCCCCCCCCAACAATCTGTCTGATCTGCTACAACCTTATGTCCCATCATGTTCCCTGAGGTCAGCGGACCAGTTGCTCCTCACAGTTCCAGGAACTCGTCTTAAGCGCAGAGGTGACAGGGCCTTCTCTGTAGCAGGACCAAGACTTTGGAACGAGTTACCTCTGCTTGTCAGACAGGCCCCCTCCCTCTCGGTTTTCAAATCTCGTTTAAAAACTCACTACTATTCTGTGGCTTTCAACACCAGATGATCTGTGTTGTGAACCTGTATGCTCCACACTGGTTTGTCGTCATATTTATTATCTGCAATGTTTTTATGTCTATATTCTGATTTACTTCATTTTGTATTTTGCTTTGTGTGTTGTCTGTTGTTCTGTCTGTACAGCACTTTGGTTGGTCTTGTAGCTGTTTTAAGTGCTCTATAAATAAAATAGTATGGTATGGTAAAAGTTTATTCTTTGTTTTTTGTAGTTTAATTTACTAAATAATTATTCAATGACAGGGTTGCAACGAGAAAGTTGTCAGAAATCTCTTTATATGTTTTACCATCTTCTGGGAGTCAGCCATAAGGACCTCTCTCTTTTATGGATTTAGTTTCAGGACATTTTTCTGACGTCCAGCATTAGATGTTGTTTTGAACTGATCAGTGAACTCAGTGATAACACCAGTGATGTTTGTGTGAATATAAAGTTATAACTGTTCTTATTATTCATGTGTTTCATTGTTCCCTGCAGATGTTCAGCAGATGGTGCTGATTAAAGAAGAAGCTCCTGAAGAATGGAGTTCTGGTGTGGACCAGAAGGAACCAGAGACCCTCATAAAGGAGGAAGAGGAGGAACTGAGGACCAGTCTGGATGTAGAGCAGCTCAGTGTGAAGGAGGAGACTGATGACACCAGGTTCTCCTTCACTGCAGTTCCTTTGAAGAGTGAGGATGATGAAGAGAAACCTCTGTTCTCTCAGCTTCATCAGCACCAAGTGGAAGATGGAGATCTTCCAACCAACAGCTCAGCTGCTGGTTGGTTCCGGCCTGGTTAGTGCTTGTATTTCCTCAATTTTATGCTTTCACCTTGTCCACTGTTTTAGGACTAAGTGTGAAATCTCATGAGATTTTGTGAGATTTGAGTTTCATAGAAAAAACATGGCTCCTCCCATCATTTGGGAGAGCAGGTGTGTGACTGGGGAAGTTCAGAACTGCTGCAGCTTTTAGATGACTCTAAACTGTGAGAAACTGCTGTTTTGTGCTTAAAAGACTGGAAACAAACAAACTAGCCAGGTTTTCTATGATGACGAGCTACCACTAGGCTTCAGGCCCAAAGAACCCGGAGCCAGAATCGGATCTGTTTTGTGCGGTAGGAGACGCTGTGGCCTGCTCCCTACACACACTCAAGAACCTTTACATGGGCTAAAGGCTCCTGAAGACTTATTTAGTCTTTACTGACTTATCGAACTGTTTAAACCCCTCGATCTTATCTGGACTATTGCTCTGGTCTTGGTATCTCGTGAATTGTGGGATTAATACCTTGGGATGCACCGATCCACTATTTTTAACTTCCTATCCTATCCCGATACCTAAATCTGAATATCGGCCGATACCGATCCAGTTCCGATATCATGATCATCATTGATTTTATATGAGGCTGCAATAATCTCCTCTCAAGTACAATTTGTACAAATCTATGCATGCATGTCCAAAAAGGCAACTTGAGGTAAGTTTTATTAATGTTGGATAAGTTTTAAAGTTAGAATTAAATTCTGCTAACACAAAACATGTTTTTTTTTTTAAATTCCTAGCTTTAAAGTGAATATTAAAGTGATTAATTTAAGTGATTGTTTAAAGTTATTTTATATTTTTTTAAATAAGGGGCAGATATAAGATTTTATTTTTCTTTCTGCACTCTTTTCATTCATTGTTTACTTTTTGAGGATTTTTTTAAATTTTGTTTCTTTTAAATGAATGAATAAATGAATTAAATAAACTAAAATGTTAAATGGCTTCAGACACCTGGCATAAACCAACAGACATGTTCCTGTTTTTAGTATTTTACATCACTTTATAATGTAGCTGGTTTTTTTTTTTTTATATATATAATTTTCAAATCATATGTTTTTTATGATTGTCTACTGTTGTACTGATAAATATCTCCTGGAGGGTAAACTATATCTTGGCTGCAAGTATCAAGCTGAGAAATCCTTCGTTTTCTACAACTGATAGTGGTTGGTCATTAATTATGATGAAGTTTAGCAACTTCTCTGTAAACATTCAAGCTCCGTGGTTTCAGCAATGTTTTCTTCTTGTTCAATCCAAAGCAGGATGCCTGATTTCGGTCAGCCGCTCTCAGTCTGTCCCTCCTCAGAGACTGGCAGACTGAACGGGGCAGATTGGACGCGGCTGGCCGGGGTCGAGTTGCATGTTTTGGGTTGAGCAAAGAGTAGCGCTCCGCTGAAGCCCCGGAGCTCGAATGTCCAACGTAAAACTAACTTTACTGCGGTTTAATGTGGCGCTATGGCTCTGCAGACATTGCACGTTGCTGTCTTGTTTTGTAGTGTTTCTAGTGTAAAATACTTCCACACAGCGGACATGTTTAGATGAAAAGTTTGTTAGCTGTTAGCCACAGTGCTGCTAACTCAGTCCTCCCGTTGTAGCTGGCTGCAAACTATGAAATGGATTTCCTGAATGTGAGACGGGTCTTATTACTCTGGTTCATGAGACACGCCGCCGTTCAGGAAATCCATTCCGTAGTTTGAAATCAACTTGCATCATGGATCGGAAATATCGGCAGGTTGGATCGGAAAAATCCGATACGTAAATTATGCTGGTATCGGAGGCCGATACCGATACTGGATTGGATCGGCCCCATCCCTATTTATACCAGCATTTGGATTTAGTCTGAATAATTTGGGAGATCTGTTCATCTATTGAAATATTTTGTTTATTGAAATAATGAATGGATTGATGACATTGATAACAGCTTTTTTAAAAACGTATTGTAAATAACATCAAATTTAATACAAAGCACCTTATGCACTGTTTTTCTGTCCCTGTGTGTTCTTAATTGCAACCGTTACCCTTCATGAGGCAAACGTTAAAACCTTCTGATAACTGGCCTGCTACTAATACTGTTGATTGATCACCACTTTACTTTGTCTGATTTTTAGCATCTACATCATATATGCTACAACTGACAGTTACTTGAATCTCTGTGACCATGGTCATCTACCACTCTCAAACAGATCCTCCAACATGAACAACTCTGACTTTCAGCTCAGCAATGCTGCTAAGCAGGAATTCTTGTTTATCCTCTAGTGCTCACTGTTGAACTCAAGGCTTGCAGGCCAAATCTGGCCCTTCTTACATCTTATCTGCCCCCCCTCCCCGCCACCAAGGTGATATTTTAAATGCAAAATACTTTATAGCTTCTCATTTTGCCTAATAAACTGATAAATACTTCATTTTGAGCAGCCTTCTCTTTGACAGTTTGCTAAATTTGAAACTAGAAAAAGAAAACATTTTTCAGTGATCTTTAATTTAGACATGGTATGAGCAAAAGAGAACATCAAATGAGACTGATCAATCCTTGTTGATGAACCTGCATCCCAGAGAAGATGTCTGGTATCTGACTTGAGTGACTGTATCGTCTGAAATTGGCTGTGGCTTAGACCAAGTTTTTAATTTTGTCCCTATTTTGTAACAGTTTGACACTCCTGCTCTAATGTTTCCACTGATAGTTTTCATATCATGATCAGTTTTCCAGCACAGCTGGTAAGTGTTGCCACAGACCAAATCCTGTAAAAACATGCTCACACCAGCTATGATCTAGACATTTCCTGTGTCACTTAAGTATTGATACATCTAAACTTTTGCACGAACAAATCAAATCAAATTTATTTATATACAGTGGCACATTTTAAAAACAATGACCATTGGCCAAAGTGCTGCACACAAAGCAAAAAAATTACTACACCACCAGATTTTTTACATGAGGTTTTAGAAACCACTCTAGATTGCCTAGATCTGTAGAAGCACTGCGGTTAGTATTTTTTTATCAACAAGTAATGACATTCATTCATGCCCATGGTTAGTGTATTTAAACATCTGATCAGAGCTGTGAGTGTGCTGCCAAATGCAGAAAATGATTGAGCAGCATGTGGAGCAGAAACGACGTGTTGCTGATGAGTCCAGAGTCATAGTTTGTATTATAGTTTTGAAAAACATTTGAGTATTTTCCTATCTGCATCAAATGATTATTATAAATTAAAATTTAATTTTATGTACCTTTAAAGTTGGCAAATCATGGTATGAACTTGTTGTTTAGTCTGTTCTTTTATTTATTTTTTAACCAAAATGAGCAATAATCAAAAACTCACTGTCACCTGTTTAAATTAAAAAGTTTTTTTTTTAGTTTGTTTCTCTTGAATATTTAGCTTAAATTTCAGCACAAAACTATTAAAGAATAATAAAATATGGGTGGGTAATCAGGATTGAAAGACTGGATTTGCGTTGCTGCATTGGCGGTTCCAGTGCAATCTGGGATTTGTAGTTCTATTTGTTTGCATTCTATACACTTGCTGGTGGTTATTTTATATGAGATATGGCTGGTCTTTACCTTGACATCTTTAAATGAATTAGTTTCAGGAGGTTTTTCTGATGTCCAGCATTAGATGTTATTTTGAGTTGCTCAGTGAACTCAACAAGTGATGTTTGTGTGAATAGAAAGTTACAACTGCCCTTAATGTTCATGCATTTCATTGTTGCCTGCAGATGCTCAGCAGATGATGCTGATTGTAGGAGAAGCTTCTGAAGAATGGAGGTCTGCTATGGAGCAGAAGCCCCTCTATGTGAAACTTCATCAGCACCAAATTGAAGATAAAGATCTTCCGGACAGCAGCTCAGCTGACCAGATGAATGCAGCAACTGTTGGAAAGGACTGTGGAGGAGCAGAAATTACCAGGAACCCAGATCCAAATACTCATGGAAATGATTCCAGTTTGTCAGAGACTGAAGACAGTGAAGAAGATGTGAATGATCCTGATTCTCAGCTAAAAGACTCATCAGACTCTGGATCAGAATCTGAAGACCGTGACAAAGACTGGACGGAGAGCAGGACTCCTGAGTCAGGTGTAAATACTGTCAACAAATCTTGCAGCTTCTCTGAGTGTGAGAAACCATTTCTCCACAAGCCGTCTGTTCAGAGAAAAAAGACGGGTCATTCAAGATTAGAGTCCTCAAGTTGTTTGGTTAGTAAGAAATGTTTTAGACTGAAGAAAACTGGAGGCTCAAACAAAAAAATCCAGTCAAGACAGAAATCATTTAGTTGTGATGTTTGTGAAAAATGGTTTCCGCACACGTCACATTTAAACAGACACATGAGAATCCACACAGGAGAGAAACCATTTGCTTGTGATGTTTGTGAACAAAAATTTAGACAGAAGTCAAATTTAAACAGACACATGATAAGCCACACAGGACAGAAACCATTTCTTTGTGATGTTTGTGGACAAAAGTTTGCACTTAGATCATATTTAAACGAACACATGATAATCCACACAGGACAGAAACCATTTGTTTGTGGAGTTTGTGGACAAAGGTTTCGACGAAAGTGCGATTTAAACTCGCACACGCTAACCCACACAGGACAAAAACCATTTGCTTGTGATGTTTGTGGACAAAGATTTTTACGAAAGTCACATTTAAACAGACACCTGAGAATCCACACAGGACAGAAACCATTTGCTTGTGATGTTTGGGGACAAAAGTTAAGACCAAACTCTGTTTTAAACAAACGCATGAAAATCCACACAGGACAGAAACCATTTGCTTGTGATGTTTGTGAACAAAAGTTTAGAAATGAGTACATTTTAAAGAGACACATGACAATCCACACAGGACAGAAACCATTTGCTTGTGATGTTTGTGAACAAAGGTTTAGACGGAAGTCAAATTTAAATAGACATATGATAATACATACAGGACAGAAACCATTTGCTTGTGATGTTTGTGGACAAACGTTTGCACACAAATCACATTTAAACAAACACGCGATAACCCATACAGGACAAAAACTCTTTGCTTGTGATGTTTGTGGACAAAGATTTGTAAGAAAGTCATATTTAAACATACACATGACAGTCCACACAGGACAGAAACCATTTGCTTGTGATGTTTGTGAACAAAGGTTTAGATTGAAGTCAAATTTACACAGACACATGAGAAAGCACACAGGACAGAAACCATTTGCTTGTGATATTTGTGGACAAATATTTGTACAAAAGTCAACTTTAAACAGACACATGACACTACACATAGGACAGAAATCATTTGCTTGTGATGTCTGTGGACAAATATTTGTAAGAAAGTCAACTTTAAATGGACACATGAGATGCCACATGGGACATAAACCATTTGCTTGTGATGTTTGTGGACAAAGATTTGTACGAAAGTCACATTTAAGCAGACACTTGACAATCCACACAGGACAGAAACCATTTGCTTGTGATGTTTGTGAACA